CCACATGTGTAAAATCTCAGATGGGCTGTTGGTCACAATGTTTTATTGTTATGCATCTATCAATGTCATCAAAAGCAGTTATCCTCAAACACCAAGACAGTAATTAAATAATATTGAAATTTAATAATATTTAGTGCATGTTAATGATTAGAAGAGTAGATAATTTAAAAATTATAGATTATATTTTTAATATGTTATTTGTAAATATTAATTATATTTAAATATAAATGTATATGTATTTTTACATATTACTCATCATTAACATGTACCTAATGTATTAGTTTGTTCCTGTGCTGCTAATAAAGACATACTTGAGACTGGGTAATTTATAAAAGAAAGAGGTTTAATTGACTCACAGTTCCACATGGCTGCGGAGGCCTCATAATCATGGCAGAAGGCAAGGAGGAGCAAAGTCACATCTTACATTGTGGCAGGAAAGAGAATTTGTGCAGAGGAACTCCCATTTATAAAACCATCAGATCTCATGAAACTTGTTCATTACCACATGAACGGTATGAGGAAAACAACCCATGTGATTCAATTATCTCCACCTGGCCTCACCCTTGACACCTAGGGATTATTACAATTTAAGGTGAGATTTGGGTGGGAACACACCAAATCATACCACTTAATATTCTTACATGTAGTGAGACCTTAAGAATTGTACTTCATAAGGGGTTTTGTTATAGGAAAGATAAGGGCCTTTGCTTTTCCCCATTTAGAATTTCAAAGTCACCTAACAGGATGGTGGCATATAAGCAGATGTATAAGCACACACCAAATGCACTTATAAATTAAGAAAATCTTTCCAAAACACATAGATATCAATTTCTGCAAAGTTTTTGAAGGAATAAGCCAGGAATTGATTAGTAGTAATGCACAATAAGTGAGCTGGATGAGAGTAACAGCTGCCATGACTACCAGAAGATGTAGATCAGGCATCCCCAAACTAAGGCCCGTGGGCTGCATGCGGCCCCCTGAGGCCATTTATCCGCCCCCCCACCACCACACTTCAGGAAGGGGCACCTCTTTCACTGATGGTCAGTGAGAGGAGCACAGTATGTGGCGGCCCTCCAACAGTCTGAGGGACAGTGAACTGGCCCCCTGTGTAAAAAGTTTGGGGACGCCTGCTGTAGATTCTTCTTCTGATTTAGCCACAAGCCACCTGGAAGACCTTGGCCAGTGCAATTAACAAACATTTGTTGGGTATCACGGAAGACTTCATAAACTGGAGATCACACAAGACGAACAAGATCTGGTTCCTGACCACAAGAAGTTTATGAACTAGTAGGGAAGAGACGACATCCAATTATAACTAAAATGGTAGAATGAGAATAATAAAAAGAAGAGCAAACCAACCACAATAGGAACTTAGAAAAAGAGTATATATATATATATATATATATATATATATATATATATACACACACACACACACACACACACACACATATATATATAAAGGCTGAAGAGAAGAAAGTTTGAAGGAAGGTTTTATAAAAAGAGGGCACATGAAATGAGCCTTACAGGTGGATACGGTTTTGATAAGGAAACCCAATGGTGGAGGGTCACTCAGAAGCAATGGAGGAGAAATCTGAACATGTGAAGTTCTGAATTCAGCCACCAGGTGTTTTTAGCCTAGACAAGAGCTCACTGGGTCATCTATGACTCTTCAGAAATTTGTGTTTGAGACACTTGTGATAGAAATTCATGATTATCAAGATAAGAAGTCTACACAGTATTTTCTTTTTCTTTTTTTTTTTTTTTTGAGATGGAGTTTTGCTCCTGTTGCCCATGCCAGAGTGCAATGGCATGATCTTGGCTGACTGCAACCACCACCTCCCAGGTTCAAGCAATTCTTCTGCCTCAGCTTCCCAAATAGCTGTGATGGCATGTGCCATCACACCTGGCTAATTTTGGATTTTTAGTAGAGACAGTATTTCTCCATGTTAAGAATTGAAAGAGCCACTGAATGATGAGTCAGATAGCATCATGATCACAGCTGTGCTTAGAAAGTCATCTCCAGCAGTGCTACGGGAAATGGATTGAAAGAAAGAGGGGCAGGACCAAGAAAGTGAGTCAGTGGTGCAGAAGCAAGGAATCTGGGGCAGAAACAACCAGGACCTATGGCATGCAGAAGAATGGGGATAGAGGAGAGGTCTGGATTCAAAGCAGTTCATAGATGACTTGATAGTTAACTGGATAATTTGGTGAGAGAGAGGGTATAATCCATGGGTAATGTAAACCTTCTGGCTTTAGTGTCTAGGTGAATGTTGATGTCACCAAGACAGAAAGTAAAAGAAAAGTAATAGACTTGTTGAGGAAGATAAGACGTTCAGTTTAAAGCATGGTGTGTCTGAGGAGCTTATAGAACACTGAGTTGGAAAAGCGTAGAGTGTTGATTCTCAACCAGGGACAATTTTGCCTCCCCCACCGCCTGATACAACAGAATATACTTAGAAATGTCTTGGGGCATTGTTGGTTATCATAACTGGAGGAAGTGGAGGTTGTTGCTGGCATCTAGCTGGTAGAGTCCAGGGATGCTGCTAAACATCCCAAAATGCACAAGACAACCCCTTGTATTAGTCTGTTCTCAAGCTACTAATAAAGACATACACAAAACTGGGTAATTTATAAAGAAGAAGATTTAATAGACTCACAGTTCACATGGAGAGGCCTCACAATCATGGTGGAAGAAGGAGCAAAGTCACATCTTACATGGCAAGAGGCAAGAGAGAGAGCATGTGCAGGGAAACTCCCTTTTATAAAACTATCAGATCTCATAAGACATTCACTATCATAAGAACAGCAAGGGAAAGGCCCACCCTCATGATTCAATTACCTTCCACTGGGTCCCTCCCATGACACATGGGAACGATGGGAACTACAATTTGAGATTTGTATCATATTGTCCCTCAACCAAGAAAGAATCATATCATCCCTCAACCAAGACAGAATGATCTGACCCAAAATGTCAATAGCAAAGAGATTGACAAATCCTGGTCTAGAAGGAATTAAAACTTCCAATCTAAAGTTTTAGAAAGTAGGAATGAATAGGCTTAAGAACTTTTCATCATTCATACATCTGTGAGAGATGGGAAAGAAAATTAGTCACCACTGGAGTATACAGAAAAGAAACAGAAGGCTGTAGCTGATAAAATTCTAGGCCATATCATCTCGTTGGCAATATGAGTTCGTTGGGTACAGTAATGTCAAAAGTCTTTACATATTCAAAATGCAATTATTTGATGACTGTTCTCAAGCAAGTGTGTATGCAGAAGATAGATATGATCACCACACATTATATGTATCAAAATATCACTATGTACCCCATGAATTTACACAATTGTGTCAATGCTTTAAAAACTGAATTAATTTTTTAAAAAAGAAGATAGATACAGATGAGTATGGAAATCAAGAAGCAAATGAGTTATGAATGCCCAAAAACCTAAACATGGTAGATACATTACTTGTGGTCTAATATTTTCATCTGCAAACTTGATACAACTTGGTTACAAACACACACTGCTATAAGACAAAAAATAATAATAATAAGAGGACAGGAGAAAGAAGAAAAGAGGAAAGCAAAGGAAAAGAGAAGAGAAACAAGATAGGGAAAAATGGCAAGGAAAACAAGGAATGTAAAGGAAAGAACAGAGTAAAGGCATCCTCTAGAAGGCTGACGGAATACATTGTGAGTACAGTTCTAAGAAATAAAACTAGTGGCCATTCTTGATAATTTTGTGAAGTTGTGATATCAAAATATATTCTACACACAGCAAAATCTGCTTCTTGAACCATATCACCACTGTTTTTCAAAAGCTGTGTTAACACAAAATGACAAAACAATAACCAACACCTTGAACAATTCTCCGGTAGTTAAATAAATTTTGCTGCAACTACGCTCCAGGCACTTGGCAGGTGTAGAAAGATAGTGAAATGCTCTGAAGTAAAGGATCATGCAGAGATGCACTGTGGGCTGCCTGGCAGCCTTAGACTGCTGGGCACAGAGGCAAAAATAGGATTGCAAGAAACAACAAATTGATTCTTTTCTTGTCCAAAATGTTATGTAGCCCACAAAGACAAGATTTACCTGGAAAACAGAATGCTGTGGCAGCAAACCAAAGGAGGCATCACTGAACATGAAAGAGTGGGAAGATCATGTGCCCAGGACAGGAGGTATACAGCATACCAGAGCCAGAAAGATCTTGAATTTGAACTCTGGTTCCACCATTAGTGAGTTTTCTGCTTTTTGCAAGTAGCAGGATGTCTCTGTGATTTATTTTTCTTTCTCGTAAAATATGGATGATGAAATTCCTGTCTCCTAGGAGTCTGGTGATGATTAAATGAGACAATGTATGTAAAACGTTTCACATAGCAGCTGGTGCAGGGTGGAGACTCTATCAGTGGCAGCTGTTATTAAGTAATATGTAAATTCTATTGCTCTAAGCAATGATTGAAAAAAAAAAGGGACCCACATTCTGAGGCAACCCCAGAATGGCATGTTAAAGAAGGTAACATATTTGAAAACTAAAATGAATTCGTCCACTTGGAAGTGACCTTCAGAACTCTCTGGTCAAATTTCTTCATTTTGCTGATGGGAAAAATTGGAGAAGAAAATGAATATGTTATTGTGGTTTGAATGTACAAGAAGCAAAAATAGGTTTTAATTAAAGAGAGATTACATTATTTTTATATGACACAAGTTCAAAATGGAGTTAGAAAATTAGCATTCATGATGAGTGAGTGTGTGTGTGTGTGTGTGTGTGTGTGTGTGTATCAGAAATAATAGAGTTCTTTTGAGGCGATGTCTAACAGAAAGTTACCCTTAGCTCTCTGTAAATTTGACTAACCTCATCACCCCCAGTGCACACATTTGTCAAGTAAACATACCTAATAAAGTTCTCTGAAGCTTCATAGAAGGATGAATAAAATCGTTTCTGAATGAACTGATGATCATACAGAACATGCTTTTCCTAAGCTGCAGCCAGGTCACTTACCTGTCCAAGAGCAAGTTAGGAGCAAACAGGAGTTTCCCTGGGTGCTCCATGGAGCGCCAGACGAGACCAATCATCAGGATCTCTAGCCAGGCACATTCTAGAAGGTGGACCTGATCATGGAGGGTCAAATCCACAAAGCCTGAAAACAAGCAAGAAAAACCCTGCTGACTCAAATGAAAAAGACTCATTACTTGTGAAATTAATGCAACAGGGATTTGAACTGACAAGGTCTATTGTCTAAGATGGAGTAAATGCAAAACAAACATATTTTTCAGTAAAGTCAAGTACTTATTTTTTAAATCTAGCTATCTCAATGAATTTCAATGTGGCATTAAGTTTCTTAGTGCCGTAGTGTCACATCTACAGAAATGTACCAACTTGAGCAACACACTTAGCTTTCTATAAAGAGTTATACTCAGTGTGAAAACTTGTGTGCTTAGTCACTTCTGATAGCACTCTGTGACTGTCCCTCATTTCTGTTTGAGTAGAAGATGCTAAGGTGCAAGAAATTTAAATTACTTGCCTTAGAACAAACAGGAATTGGAGCACAGGCAGAATGAAAGTCACTAAATTTCTATTCCTTTGCTTTGTCCCTAAGCCACACTCATTTTCTGTAACATGTACAAGAAAGACTCATAAAACACCATATATAAATAAATCACTTGGGAGAATGAGTCAGCTGAAAAAAATAAGGTGACATTATGATTACTTAGAGTAATAACTGCTAAAATGTGTTCTTGTTTTCTAATGGTGAACTAAGAGATTAAAGCTTTATCCAATCATTAACTGAAATTATTGTGATTACCTAATAATAATAATGAGGAGGAAGGAAAAAAAGAAGGAAGAAGGAAGAGCAAAAGGAAAAGGAAGAAGAAGAGTTTGTTGAGCCCTTACTATGGGTTAGAAGCAATCCTAATATTTCTCGTGCACAATTATTTATGAACGCAACAACCTGAAGAGGTAGGAACTGATATGGCCATTGTACAGATAAGAAGACAGATGCTCAGAGAGCTGATTTGTCTGTTGAAGCCAAAACATGTGCCTTGACCACAGTGGACATTATCTCTTCTGAGCTCCACTTAATTTGAGAATTTGGATCCAGTGACTAAATAAATCACACACCACACACATTAAGATATGTCAGAGTGACAGGGACAATAAGTGAATGAAGTATCCATAAAGATTGCACCTTCCAAGTTAGTCCCCTATTCTCTTGCCCTAAGGTACCCACCATAGTCTATTTCCCTCCTTTCTCTTTTTATCTTCAACCCTTCCTTCTCTCCTATCCATGAGAATGGCTCTAGGAATCCCACTGAGTGTATGTGTGTGCTTGTTCTTTTCTTTTTCTCTCACAAATATTACACTATTAGCTATTACCCTATTAGCTATATTTGTGTTGACAGAAAAGACAAGATGGAATTTTGTTTTCCTTTAACAGTCAAGTAGGAATGGTCTGCCTACAGGATGTTTCTTCTTGCGGGTCTTGGAGGTAACAAAAACTCAGTATGATAAACAGGTACTTATCATTTCTTACATGCTTAAGTATCACCTTTCAGATAATTGTTATATTCAAATAGATAATGATCCACCTAGGGAAACCAAAACTAGAGACAGACCTCAGAGTCTACACTCCTTCTCTTACCATCATTTCATAATCAAAGTTCATCAATTCTGTTTTTGAGGTTACTATAATTTTCTCCTTTTCATTGCCACTGTTGACACACTAATTCAGTTCCTAACACTTTCTTACCTTTTTGCCTGACTTCTTTAACTCAGCATAATTATTTTAAGGTTTATCCATGTGGTTGCATGTATGAACAGTTGATTCTTTTTATTGCTAAATGGTATTCCATTGCATGGATATATCCCATAAATGAATAAAATGTATCCTTTCATTGGACATTTGGATTGTTTCTAGTTTTTGGCTGTTACAAATAAAGCTGCTACAAGCAATTTTTGTACAAGTTTTTGTATGGACATATATTTTTATTTCTCTTGATTAAATACATAATATTTAATTATGTACAAGGATAATTAATTAGATACAAAGATATCTGGATATATTATTCCAGGTATATATTTAACTTTTTAAGAAACTGTCAAACTGTTTTCAAAGTGCTTGTGCCATTTACATTCTCATCAGCAATACATGAAAGCACCAGTCGGCCTACATCTTCACCAATACTTGGTATCGTCAGTCTTTTAAATTTTATACATTTGGCCAGGTGCAGTGGCTCATGCCTGTAATCCCAGCACTTTGGGAGACTGAGGTGGATGGATCACTTGAGGTCAGGAGTTCAAGACCAGCCTGACCAATATGGAAAAACATTGTCTCTACTAAAAATACAAAAAATTAGCTGGGCCTGGTGGCGCATGCCTATAATCCCAGCTACTAGGGAGGCTGAGGCAGGAGAATTGCTTAAACCTGGGAGGCAGAGGTTGCAATGAGTTGAGATCATGCCACTGCACTCCAGCCTGGGCAACAAGAGAGAAACTCCATCTCAAAAAAAAAAAAAGAAAAGAAAATGTATACATTATAATAGATATACAGAGGTATCACACTGGCACTGTGGTTTTATGTGCATTTTCTCAATGATTAATAATGTTGCACATCTTCTCATGTGTTTTCTAACAGATCATTTTGCTATACTGTATTCAAATTAATCATGCATATATCTGTAAATCCTGCTAGGCCACATACACATGGTAAGCACAAGATGCATGATTCTATCAAATTTTCCTTTTTGTAAAGTTTAAATTTATTGCACCTACATCACTGAGCTATGCAAGGCTCATGACAGAATAGCCTGTCTCAGAGCAAGTGTCTTTCCATTGGAAAGAGTGGATTTCACTCACATAAAGCAGGATTCAGCATCTGGAAAAATGAGAAAGTGGGTGGCTTTGTTCATAAGAAAAAGTAAAAGATGAAAAAGCAATGATTTGGTTTCAAATCCCCAAAGGGTGAGGGCAGGGAGGGAACAGGTGTCTCTACAGCGTGCAGTGATTTACCTATGGAATGTACTGGGTCAAAAGGAACTCGCCTTGCTCTTGAGGAAACGTGTCCTGTGCAGCAGTAAATGCTCCTTTCTCAATACCCACAATCTAATAGGACAAATCAAACCCGTTTTAGTTTAAGTCAGCAGTACTATAAATGAAAGCCCTCTGGGTTTCATTTCTTTTTTTTTTAATTGCATTTTAGGTTTTGGGGTACATGTGAAGAACATGCAAGATTGTTGCATAGGTACACACATGGCAGACAGTATCAAATTCACACAGAACAATACTATCCCTAAATGTCAATGGACTAAATGCCCCAATCAAAAGACACAGACTGGCAAATTGGATAAAAAGCCAAAACCCATCAGTGTGCTGTATCCAGGAAACCCATCTTACATGCAAGGATACACAAAGGCTCAAAATAAAGGGATGGAGGAAGATCTACCAAGCAAATGGAGAGCAAAAAAAAAAAAAAAAAAGCAGGAGTTGCAATTCTTATCTCTGATAAAATAGACTTTAAAGCAACAAAGATCAAAAGAGACAAAGAAGGACATTACATAATGGTAAAAGGATCACTGCAACAAGAAGAGCTAACGATCCTAAATATATACACACCCAATACAGGAGCACCCAGATACATAAGGTAAGTTCTTAATGACTTACAAAGAGACTTAGGCTCCCACACAATAATAGTGGGAGACTTTAACACCCCATTGTCATTTCTTAATTTCATAATTCTTTAAGATTTCACCCCAATCTTTTTTTTTTCCCTTTTTTAAATTTACTTTAAGTTCTGGGATACATATGCAGAATGTGCAGGTTTGTTACACAGGTATACATATGCCTTGGTGGTTTGCTGTACCCATCAACCCATCAGTTACATAATACTATCCCTCCCCTAACCCCACACTTCTCCCCTAGATTTCACCCCAATCTTTTAGGTAAAGTATCATAATAGTAATGTAAACTTACACTGTAAATTAAACTTATTTGCAGAAATGTTAACATTCAAAAGGGAGGCTTTTTATCTTCTCTCATGACATTTGCTATATGTAATATTGCCACCCATAAGGAAACCTACCCCACCTTATTTAAACCTCAATAACCTACATAAACCTCAAAAAGAATCATACAGGATGAGATCTGGGGGTGTCTCATGAGTTCTCAGAACTGCAGTTGACCATGTAACCAATCAATATGGAAAACCAAAAGCCCCCTTTCTGATGGCAACTTTACATATTAAATGGAATTATAATTTTTAATTCCCACTTTATGGTTCCAGTATTATTTAGATCTGACAGTTTTAGTGGCCTTTTGGAAGCCAAAGAAGCTCCCCGTAAGCACTTGTGCCACGTAAGTAAGACGATTATGAAATCTGTCTGAAGTATGTCTTTTGGTAATAGTTTTCAGTCGAAGGCCAGCAGGATTGCTTGATCCTTCTGTTGAAATGTTGTAGACCTCTCAAAAAGAGTCTATTTAATTATCTTTCCCAGCTGTGCATATTGTCTGCAGACAAGGGTTATTACATCTATTGCACAGTGTGCTCTGCAAGTTCCTGGGTCAGGGTTGGGGGAGAGTGTCCAGGAAAGGTTATCAATTAACCTTCTTAATGAATGTGAAGACTATGAAAGATTATTAGATCTTTCATAGTGTCTCTTTTCTTCCAATATACTGGTCTTGACTGAAGAGTCAAGACCACCCAGCAGCTAACTACCTTTTCAGCATGGAATACATGTCCATGAGTTGCCTACAGTTCATAACCAATGGAGAAAGATAATGTAATAAATCCCAAGCAAAATTATATTGGGCAAACTACAGATAGACATCAAGTTTCAATCCCTTGGCTTATTTTCCTGATAAACAGAAAGAATGTTCTAATATGCAATTCCAAATGAATGTGCCATAGTCACTTAGAGGCATCCAAAAAGTAAATCCCATTTCCTCTTGAACACTCAAAAGTGTTGCCATTCATAAAGTGGGAGCTTAGCAGCTGCTACGGAACATAAGGAAAGGTATCAGTGACAGATATTCTTGCTGGTGGCAAGTCAGCGGTGACTCATCCCCCATCACTTGAGGAACCCCTTCTCTTTTTTTTGAGTCGAATTCTCACTCTGCTGCCCGGGCTGGAGTGCAGTGCCATGA